CATCAGGTATTTTGTAGAATATTTCCAAACTGGGATTTGTCTGATTTTTTCTCACATTTGGCAAGAGTTATGTGTTCTTGGGAAGAAAGTGACAGAAGTGTCATTTTCATCATTTTTTATCAGGGCTACACATTATCAGTGCGACTTTATCATTGTTGATGTTACTCACCTGCTGAGGTCAGATTTCATGACTATGAAGTTATTCTTTTCCTCCCTTTACATACTCCAGTCTTTGGAGAGAAGTCACTATGCAGACAATAAGGAGGGCTGAGCCTCAACCCTTTCAAAATATAATTGTCTTGGGGCGCTTGGGTGGCTCAGGAGGTTGAGCGTCCAACTCTTGATTTCAGCTCACATCATGTTCTTGGGGTCGTGGGATGGAGCCCTGCTTTCGGCTCCTCACTCAGCAGGGAGTCTGCTTGAGATTCTCACTCTCCCTCTCCTTCTGTTCCTACCCCCTCCCCCACTCTCTCTCTCTAAAATAAATAAATATATCTTTTAAAAGAAAGGAAGGAAGAAAGTAAGCTGTCTTAAATGTGTCCTCAACATACACTGAGCACCATATCCAGTGGTGCAATTTTGCTTCAACCATCAAATATGATTTAAGAAATGCATAAAGGGGGGGCGTCTGGGTGGCTCAGTTGTTAAGCGTCTGCCTTCGGCTCAGGTCATGATCCCAGGGTCCTGGGATCGAGCCCCACATCAGGCTCCCTGCTCCGCGGGAAGCCTGCTTCTCCCTCTCCCACTCCCCCTGCTTGTGTTCCCTCTCTCGCTGTGTCTCTGTCAAATAAATAAAATCTTTAAAAAAAAAATGCATAAGGAATAGGATAATCTATTACAGTTACTACTATTTTTTACCCATTCTGATGTTCTCTTTTCCCTTCTGATGTTTCAAGCCTTTGTTATCATTTTCTTTCTATTTAGAGAACTTCCTTTATCCATTCTTTATGGCTAAATTTGCTAGCAACAAAATTCCTTAGTTTTGCCTCACCGAAGAATGTCTTTGTTTCCCCTTCATTCTGGAAAGATATTTTTTGCAGGACACAGAATTCAAGGTTGACAGTTCCTTTCTTTCAGTACTTGGAAAGATGTTATGCCACTTCCATCTGGCCTCCAGGGTTTCATTTTTTTTTTTTTTTTTTTTAAGATTTTTAAGTTTTTATTTATTTGACAGAGAGAGAGACAGCGAGAGAGGAAACACAAGCAGGGGGAGTGGGAGAGGGAGAGGCAGGCCTCCAGCTGAGCAGGGATCCCAGGACCCTGGGATCATGACCTGAGGGGAAGGCAGACGCTTAATGACTGAGCCACTCAGGCACCCCGCCTCCAGGGTTTCAAATGAGAAATGAGAAATCTGCTATAATTAGAATTGGTGTTCCCTATAAGAAAGGCATTACTTTGCTCTGGATGCTTTCAAGGTTTGTTTTTTTGTCTTTAATTTTTACAAGTTTCATTACATTGTTTTGGAAGGGATTTCTTTGGTTTGTCCTGTTTGGGTTCACTTAGTTTCTTAAATATGTAGGTTTATACCTTTTGCTAATTTGGAAAGTTTTCAGTCATTATTTATTCAAATACTTTTTCAGTTCCTGTTTTCTCTATTTTTGGTACTGCAATGATGCAAATGTTAGCTCTCTTGCTACAGTCCCTGGATCCCTGAGGCTATATTCACTTTTTTGGGTCTGTCTTCTTTCTGTTGTTCAGAATAATGCTACTGATATTCCTCAAATTTACTGATTATATCCTCTGTCATCTCCATTCTAATATTGAGCCCATTTAGTGAGTTTATTTCAGTTATTCTATCTTTCAGTTCCATAATTTTCTTTCATTCTTTTTTATAACTTCTATTTGTTTGCTGAGATTTTCTATTTTTTCGTTTCAAGAGAATTCATAACTGCTTGTTGAAGCATGTGTGTGATGGCTGCTGTAAAATCCTTGTCAGATAATTCTAACAGCTGATTCAATTTAGTGCTGGCATTTCTCAATTGTTTTTTCTCATTCCTGTTGTGATTTTCCTGGTTTTAGGTATAATGAATGATTTTGTATCACACTGCAGACACTTTGGATATTATGAGACTCTGGATCTTATTTAATCATCATTTTTTGGCAGCCATTGCTCCTGTTGAAGTTTAGCACAAGGGCTGAGTGGGTGGGTATGTTCAGCTTTTTGCTGAGCCCCACTGACACCTGCCCAGTGAAAGTGGGACACCAACTGGCACTGCTTTGCTGCCTCTGATTGAGGTTGTAAGATCAGCCCCTGCTGGGCTCTGCTGGCCTCAGGGAGAGGCAACAGAAGGTAGACTCTTGCTGCTTTGTTGCTGTTGGGTGAGGGTAAAGCTCAGCTCTTCAAGGGACCTTCCTGACTCTGGGGCAGGTGGTGGGGGGTAGGGGGGTGGTGTGTGTGAAGCTGGTCAGTAACTGTCTGCTCTGCACTGATTTGTTAGGTCTCACTGCTGCTGGGTGGAGGAGACTCAGCTAGAGGCAGGACCCTGCTGACACTGTTGTGGTTGGGAACCAGATTGCCACCTGATTTGTCGGGTGGGGCATATACATCAGTTGCCTGCTTGGTCCCACTGAAAATACAGGTGTAGTGGTGTGCTTTTTCTGTTGGTGTTTGGTTGGAGTAGGGCAGATATTACCAAAATGGTTTTTTGTGGTTAGGCCACCTTCTCTCCAGTCCTTTGGCTGCGGAACAGGATCTCCTTCTTGGAGCTCATTATTGTGTGTGCCTGTGCCAGGCTGAAGGTTCCTACAGCACCCTGCCTGGACATATGGGAGGCAATAAGGAAATCCAGGCATTCACCACCACGTTGTTTCACAGGCCCCTAGGCAGTCCGCACTCGGCTCTTTACCTTTCAGTCTTCCTATGCTTGTCATTGTGTTATGTCCAAGGGTTTTTAGTCAGAAGAGGGAGAACCTGGGAGGAATGGGACTTCTCCCCCCCCCCTTTTTTTTTACTTAAACAGAAGAGGTGGTTAGTAGTCAGAAAATAAGCCTCTAGTGAAACAGGCAAAAATGGGCCAGTTTACAACTAAACTGAAATTGGCCACGGTTCTAACGAGTGAACAAAATGGACTGAACATCTTTTGAAGTTCATACAAAGGATTTGCATCTATCTATAGTCACTGATTCTAATTTATTTTTATTAGAACATTTTCATTCTACAAAAGGTCTACATGAGAATCCAGGGGCAGTTTTGTCACGCATGTGACTAGCCATCTATTGGATGTTCGCATCCCCCGAGTGAAATTTCAAGTCTCTCTATTACTGCCTAGCAGTTACTACTTACAGTGTTCTAGCAACAGAAAGAAGTACGTTTTCTGGGCTCCTGCTGGACTGTCTACTCTTCTTTTCTTTTTTATATATGCTTATATATACACATACATATATATGCATATGTATATGGAGAGAGAGAGAACATACAAAACATGCATAAGAATACTTGAAGAATTTTCACAAAGTGAACATACCACGTAACCAGCCCCCATAATCTAAAACAGGAACGTCTCCAAAGCCACTATCAAGGCTTCTTAGTCACCAACCCTTCCACCCTCACAGAAAGCCACTGTTCTGGCTTTTAACACCATAGATTACTTTTATTGGTTACTCTTGTTTTTTTAAATTGAAATATTTTCATTGAGATAGTGGTAGATTCATATGTAGTTTTAAGAAATAATACAGAAAAATTCCTCATACTCTTTGCCCACTTCTCCCCAAATGGTAACATTTTATACAAATATAGTATAAAGTCCCAGCATACTGACATTGCTATGATCCACCTATCCTATTCAAATTTCCCACTTGTACTCATTTGTGTGTGTGCGTGTGTTAGGTTCAATACAGTTACCACCAGAGTCAAGATATGGAGCAACTCCAACACTGTCAGATCCTTGTGTTGCCCTTTTATGACCATACCCATCTCCCTCCCATGATCTCCTCTCCCCAACTCCCAGCAACTACTAACCTACCCCTCATTTCTAAAATTTTGTCATTTCAAAATGTTATATAAATGGAGTCTTATGGTATGTAATCTTCCGCAACTGGCTTTTTTCTCCCCCTCAACATGAGTACTCCTTTTTAACATGATTGGAAAGCTTCTCTTTAGAAATTTCCATCAGTTTTGGGGCACCTGGGTGGCTCAGTTAAGTGTCCAACTCTTGATTTTAGCTCAGGTTATGATCTCAGGGTTGTGAGATCAAGCCCCACGTTGGGCTCTGTGCTCAGCACAGAGTCTGCTTAAGATTCTCTGCCTCTCCCTCTGCCCTTCCCAATCCCCCCGCTTGCTCTCACTCTCTTCTCTAACAACAACAACAAAAAGAATAAAAAGAATATCCACAAGTTTTACTAGAGACCATCAAGCTGTACCTCCTCTCTAATGGATGGATTTAAACTAGTGCCTCTCATGCTTCTCATCTTTTAAAAACCTTAGGGCAAATGTTTATCCTCGAATAAGCATGCCTATAGAAAAATCACCCTGATTAATGCTGCTTCAAGGTGACTTACGGGAGATGAGCAAAAGGATTTCTTTTTGTGAATAAAATTCTGATCCCAAGATTTATTAGTATTATGTTTTAAGGAAAACAATGGCTATGATGTCCATTTACTATATAAACTTTATCTGATCTAGGCATGTTGAAGCTCAATGAAGCCTGGAATGGTATTCCAGGTAGCTCTAAAACTAACTTGCTGTATTTTTTATTTTAATAAAAGGTAAAACTCATGTAGTAAATGAAACCACCAAGATAGAAGATATCTATTAAGAATCCCATTTGTAGAAATTTCTTAAAAACAAACAAACAAAAAAACCAGAATACTTCTGTTATCAATAATTCTATGGTCTACTTAATCTCTTTCTCTACTTTTGACTTACTCTGTTGGTAAAGTCCCCAAAGTAACAGGTTCTAATTTTCCAAAAAGGTCAAGTTTGTAAATGCCTGGAAAGTCACTCATCTTTATGATAAAACATCACCTTCCTTGTACAGAGACCTATATTCACTTTTACTCACCTGTTCTCATATTGAAATTTTGCCAGTATGTCTTTGGCCTTGGTGTGACTAGTGAGCTGAATGGCCATGGACACCTTAGAGAGAAGTGGAGCATGGACCCTTATGACTCCTTCCGGCACGTCAGACTGCCAATGAGGAAAAATTTAGTACATTCTGTCAAACTAGGATGAATATCACTTTAATGACTGCATTTAAGAGATATGAAAATCAGTGGCAGTGTGAATTAGGAAAACATGTGAATGTGACCAGTATTTAACCAGAATGAAACATTGCTTTCTTTTTAATAGGAGATTCACTAAACTTAACCTGGGATTTTACTCTTGTTACACACTTAAGGCCTTGCTATAATGCCTTAAAATGAGAGAAGTAACACTAGGTTATGACAAAATCTCATGTTTCTATCAGTTCATTTCCTTGAACTGTGCCCTAAATAAGCTTACTTTAAGCAGAATTCTGTATTTCAGTATATTTTAAGATCAACCTTCTGGAAAATTTGAGAAACAATTAGAAAATACAGCTTTTTAAATATCATTTTTCTTTAGTTAATAACAATGATTGGGGACCCAAGTTGAATTCCATCAATGAGCACTTAAAACTTGATCCCTCAAAGTATGTGATAATATTCTGATGAGCAGTGTATGGACTGTTCAGTATCTCTGCTTTCATATGACAAGACTGGCCTGCAGACCTACCATGGAGCTCCTGTTAAGTGAAATAATCAATGAATGGCATGTTCTAACAGAAATTTCTGTTTTGTCAGGATTGACTGGAAAATTCCTTTTGTTTCCAAATTTTGAATATTTTTAAAATTCATTATCTATCTAGATATGAATAGAAATAAATTTCTATCTGAGGATCTGGCTAACTCCTCAGGTAATCATTTTAAATTGGAACATTCTCAAAGGATGGCATGGTTGATATAGAAGGTTTAAGTTGAATTGACTCAATACATACCCTAAAAGGAATACATTATGGGTTGAACTGTGTCCCCGCAAAAGATATTTGAAGTCCTAACCCCCAGTAGCTGAGAATATAACCGTATTTGGAAATAGGGTCATTGCAGTTGTAATTAGCTCAGATGAGGTTGTAATGGAATAGGGTGGATGTCTATCCAATATGGCTACTGTTCTTATAAAAGAGACTCAGACACACACACTCAGTGTGTAAAGATGGAGGCAGAGATTGAAGTGATGTATCTACAAGCTAAGGAATATCAAGAATTGGTGGCACCACCAAAAGCTAGGAATGATGTCAAGAACAGATCCTTGTCTCACAGCCTTCAGAAGGAACGAACTAAGCAGATTCCTTGATTTCAGACTTTTAGCCTGCAGAACTGTGAGAGAATAAACTTCTAATATTTTAACCTACCTAGTTTGTGGTAGGAAACTAAGAGAAAATATTTTAAAATAGGGTCAGTTATTATGGTACTTTTATACTATTACCAGTAAGAACCAGGAGAGCATGCCAGGGAATGGATGTTGAGGGTGATGGACCTTGGGGGGAGGCTGCAGGGTGTCGGGTCATTGGAGCCAAGACTAAACTCCTAAAACACTGTTCTGGGTATTTCATGCCCTTCCTCTTCCAGCACCACCCTCCCCCATCCCCACCCCAGAAACCTGTGTAAGATAAATTCTACCTTCCTGATGATATTACTGTACCTGTGATCATAACAATCACATTTTCCCTATAAATTCCTACAGTATTCATACTTGTGTACAGGCTGCCTAACCATATATTTTGAGTCATCAGTTAGTTGACTCTCTCCCTATACTATTCCTTCATGTGCCACATGAAATGTGTCCAGTATGAAGAATAGATCATGACCAAAATTATACATAGGCATGATAGACACAACCAGAAAATACCATGTAGGGAGTTAATAAGAGAGGAAAGGAAATTATTTGTTTTCTTACCATTCTTCTCGAAGAGGGTGATTTTTGCAGTACCTTTGAAGTCTTGGGGCTTATAACCTAAAACAAAACACATTTAGTCCTCAGGATTAATGTTGGGAAAACAAGTACATGCTGCTCTTGGAAGTGTAAACTGTTAACAATCTTTATGGAAAACATTTTGGAAATATTTAAAATGACTAAACAATGTTACATCTGTAAGTTTATCCTACAAATATACTTCACTTGTGAGAAATAATGTATATACAAGTTTGTTCACTAGTGCATAAATCTTACTAGCAAAAGACTGACACAGTCTAACTGTTCAACAATATGGGATTGCTTACATAAACTACGATGCATCTATGGAATACCATGCAAAAGAAGCAAAGAAGGCTTTGTTAATTGATAATGGAATAATGATATGGAATAATCACCATGATTTTTCAAGTCAGTAAAGCAAGACACAGGACAGTATTTCATGTATGTTACCATTCATGCAAAAGGGAAGAACACTGTCAAGAGTTCAGGTCAGCTACACTCCATGGTGTTGCTGCCTCAGCATCCATTTTGTTTGGCCAAGCATCCTGCAGTGACCTTAAACTGACAGTAGACCCTCATGCAAGCCCCTGCCCTAGACATAAGCCCACAGAGTCTCGAGCAATTCGTGGAGTCCTGATATGACTTCCTTGTAACCTGCGTGATCAACAGTCTCTCCACCTCCCAGTGCTATCCCCTTGTGTGCCCCTTAGATAAGACCCCTGTGGAGCTCACCAAAAAAACACTCTTTTGGTTTGGATTGACCAATGTGGCCTTAGCCTGGGAACCCCAAATCATTGCACCAATGGACCTTAACAAAGAAATGTGCCCCAGGTTCTATGGCTCTGTCTGCATCCTGCCTTGACCTGCCCATATGGCTCCTTGAGGCATGCCGTGTACTTCCTCCAGAACCTGTGAATACTAAACTTTCCTATTTCAATTTCTCTTATCGTTTGGTGTTGAGCTGTGTGTGATTCACCATCCAGCACCATCCAGCACCATCCAGCACATAACATGTTAATGTAACAAAGTCCTAACAAACATACATTCATATTTGTTTGCATGTGCAGAATGCCTCTTTGGAAGTATATACATCTGCATGTTTTGGGGCACACCCACCCTATCATTGGTGATATTATTTATCTCCACGAGGGGAAGTCAGAGGTGGCCAATTTTTATTCTAGTGTTTTGTACCTTTTGAACTTTGTAACCTGTTAATGAACTATTCTAATCAAAGTTAAGAGGTAAATACATGGTACAGTACAACAGAACTGAAGAAAGACTGTTTCTTCAACTTTAAGTATTTGCTTCCATGGTACTTATAAACTTTAAATTCTACTTTTTTCATATCTCTAATGTTACAACCAAAAAATTAAAATAGCTGACATTCATATAGCATCATACAACTTACAAAAAGTGCTTTTACACATGGTAAGTGAGTTGATGCTAATGACAACTCTGTGAATTAGGTATCGTTACCTTTCTCCCCAATTTATAATATAAGAAAATTGAGGCACAGAGAAAGATTTTAATTCGCTGAGGCTACTAGCCCAAAGGATGCAATCAGGGGAGTGTTTAAGTAAGAAAAATGGGACACCTGGGTGACTCAGTTGGTTAAGCAGCCTACTCTTGATTTTGGCTCAGGTCATGATCTCAGGGTCCTGGCATTGAGCCCTGTGTCAGGCTCCATGCTCAGCAGGGAGTCTGCATGAGGATTCTCTCTCCCTCTGCCCCTCCCCTCACTCATATTTTCTCTCTCCCCCTCTCTAAAATAAATAAATCAATCTTCGAACTTATACTTCTCCCATCTCTGCTCCCTAAGCTCAGTGCCAGGCTTGAAAATAACAGCCTGCATTCCTGGTACAGGTCCAGGAAGGAGCAGAATGACTCATTCACAAAGAATTGTAATTCTTTGTTCTGACCTGGTTGGTGGCTCCCTAAAATACTGGTTCAGAAGGCTTGCTTCTATCTTGACTAACTTGGAACCTGACCAGTGCTAAAGTGGTATGATGGTGAAAACATTTATAGGCAAATATTTTAGTTATTGCTGCCTGATGCAGTGGGTAAGACTTGGAGAAAACAACAGACTAACTAAAAAGCTTGAGAGGCAAAGCTGGAAACTGAGATTCTTTGGGGAATAAGGGCGTTGAAAAGCTCCAAATATTCCTGAGAATCTAGAAAGCCACATGCATGCCAAGGGTTGTGCATGTGTTCAAAAAAGACCTGAAAATAACTTAGGCTGTGAATTTAAGCTGGCTGCCCTTTGTGCTCTATCCAGGCAGGAAGTGAAAGCTCAGGCAGAGTCATAAACTGTCTGGTTGAATGCTGAAGATGCACCCAAACAAACATACAGAGTTCATCTGCAAAGACTGGAAGTTTTTTGGTACAAAGTGTTTAAGAAAATCTCTGTGCAAACTTAGCTAACCACTAAGCTCATGGAGCAGAGACTTCTGTAGCCACACAAAACAATTCAAACTTTACAAATTTAGCTCAGCAGAAAAGTAATTAAACAAACAAACAGCTACAACAAGCAGCAACAAACCCTAGAAGAGGGGGAAGAATCTTATTTCCAAAGTTGCCACATTGTAATATTTAAAATGTCCATTCTTCAGGGCACCTGGGTGGCTCAGTAAGCATCTGACTTCAGCTCAGGTCATGATCCCAGGGTCCTGGGATCCAGCCCCGCATTGGGATCGCTGCTCAGTGGGGAGCCTGCTTCTCCCTCTGCTGCTCCCCCTGCTTGTGCTCTCTCACTCTCTCTCTGTCAAATAAATACATAAAATCTTACAAAATAAATAAATAAATAAAATGTCCATTCTTCAACAACAACAAAAAATATGAGACAGGCAAAAAAAGGTCAAGAAAATATGGCCCATACACAGGGAAAAAGTAGTTTCAATAGTTCCAAAAGAAACTCCTGAAGGAAACCTAAACATTAAAGTTACTAGAAAAAGCCTTCAAGTAAGATATTTTAAAAATGTTCAAAGAACTAATGGAAACCATGTTTAAAGAACTAAAGAAAACCATGAGAATTAGATCTTACCAAATTAGGAATATCAAAAAAGAGACAAATTATAAAAAGGAATCAAAGGGAAATTCTGGACTGAAAAGTCCAACTGAAATGAAAAATCCACTAGAAGGGCTCAATAGCAGATTTGAGGCAGAAAAAAAATCAGTAATTTGAAGATAAATTGATTGAGATTATCCAGTCTGAAGAATAGGAAGAAAAAAGAATGAAGACAAATGAACAAAACCTAAAGGGAATTGTAGGACAATATCCAACATGAAATGCACCAACACATATATAATTAAGAGTTGCAGAAGAAGAGAAGAGAAAGGGACAGAGAGAATAGTTGAAGTAATAATGGCTGAAACTCTCTAAATTTGCTGAAAATGTTGATCTACCTATTTAAAAAGCTCAACAAACTCCAAATAAGATAAACTGAAAGAGATCTACACCAAGATACATCATAATCAAATTGTCAAAAGACAAAGTATTACTTGAAAGCAGCAAGAGAAAAGCAACTCAGCATGCACAAGAGATTTTCAATAATAACAACTGATTCCCCAGCAGAAACCATGAAAGCCAGAAGACAATGGGATGACATATTCAAAGTGCTGAAAGAAAAAAAAAGCTGTCAAGCAAATTCTATTTGGCAAAACAATCTTTAAAAAATAAAGAAGAGGCCTTCTAGATGCCACCATGCCAGAGCTACCTGTGCCACCCAGTCATGGTGAACCCCTCCATGCTCTTCTGCTGTTGAGAAGTGAGCCCTTCAGCTGTATTTCCTTTGAGCTGCTTGTGCACACAGTTCCAAAGACAGAAGAAAATATTCATGCTCTGAGCACTGGGGAGAAAAGATTAGGTTATAAAGTTCCTGCTTTCACAGATTATTTGGGGATTTATGTGCCAGGGCAGTGATTTCCCATGCCATAATTACACTGTTGGCAAGTCTATGGGGAGAAATCTGATGGTGAAAATTTCATCCTAAAGCATATGGGGTCTGGTATCTTGTCCATGGCAAATGCTGGACCCCAACACAAATGGTTCCCAGTTTTTCAACTGCAATGCCAAGACTGAGTGGTTGGATGGCAAGCATGTGGTCTTTGGCAAGGTGAAAGAGGGCATGAATACTGTGGAAGTCACAGAGCACTCTGGGTCCAAGAATGGCAAGACCAGCAAAGAGATCACCACTGCTGACTATAGGCAAATCTAATAAATTTGACTTATGTTTTCTCTTAACCACCAGAATATTCCTTCTGTAGCTCAGAAGAGCACCCCCTTATCCTCATCTGCTTAAAACAGCTTATCATCTCTGTGCTCTTCTTGCTGCAGTTCTTTGGGTTCCATAGTTTCCTTATTCCCCTCTAAGTGTAGCTGAATTAGAGTTAAGTTTACGATTATTAAATAAAAACTAAACAACCAAAAAAATGAAGAAATTATGACATTCTAAGATAAATAAATGCACTCCTAGCAGAACTTCCCTATAAGAAATGTTAAAGATAGGGGCGCCTGGGTGGCTCAGTTGGTTAAGCGACTGCCTTCGGCTCAGGTCATGATCCTGGAGTCACAGGATCGGGTCCTGCATCGGGCTCCCTGCTCGGCAGGGAGTCTGCCTCTCCCTCTGACCCTCCTCCCTCTCATGCTCTCTGTCTCTCATTCTCTTTCTCTCAAATAAATAAATAAAATCTTTAAAGAAAGAAAGAAAGAAAGAAAGAAAGAAAGAAAGAAAGAAAGAAAGAAAGAAAGAAAGGTTAAAGATAGTCCTTTAGGCTGAAATGAAGGGACACTAGACTAACTTGAATCCATATGAAATAACATCAGTAAAGATAACTACATAGGTAAATATAAAAAACAGCATTATGTATTTTTTGCAACTCCCCCTTTTTTCCTATCTAACTTAAAAGATAAGTGCATAAAGCAATAACTATAAATCTATGTTGATGGGCACATAATTTTTAAAGATGCAATTTGTGGCAATAACAGCATAAAGTAGGAGATATGGGGGCCTATAAATAGAGTTTTTATATACTATTGAATT